TAAATATATATATTATATATATATTATATATATAAAAACAACTATATATATATATATATAGCTATATATATATAGCCCTCACAATAACCGTGTGTCTTAGTTACTTTCTTGTTGCTGGAACAAAACACCTGACTGACACCCATAAGGTTTATTTGGCTCACAGTTTATAGAGGTTTCAGTCCATAGTTGGCTGGCTCCAAGGCAAGCGGCATGGCAGAGAAGAGACAGTACATGGCAGGGCAGACAGAAAGCAGCAGTCTTACTTTTTATTCCATTCAGGCTGCAGTCCTGTTGGTTGTTGCCACCCACACCCAGAATTATGCTGAACTAATCAGTGGATGCATCCATCCAAGGTACAAGCTTGTTGATAGTTGCACCCACACCCAGAACTATGGTAAACCAATCAGATGACTGATCCCATACCTATGATCCCATGTCACACAACCCATTATCCAGTCACTCCCCAACCCCCCCCCCCCCATGAGTACATGAGGCTTTGGGGGGACATCTAGATGTAAGTCATAGTAAGGAATAAGAACCCCTCACCTTTGATCTTGTGCAATGGACAGATCAGACTGAGAACCAGGAGAGTGCAATTAAAGTGAAAGACTTTATTTCTCAATCTTGCAAGACAGTCCAGCAAGCAGGCAAGTAGCCGTGCCTACAGCAGTTACAACAAGCAATTTAACCCCTAGCATGCAGGTCCCTTCCCCCAGTTCCTCATGAGTGCTGTGGGAGGTAAAATCTTCCCAGTCGCTACCTGGACCCTTGGCCTGCCCTCTCTGAAAACATTTTGTGAATTTGAAGGCAGATAATTAAGCCACAGGTGGGTAACTTCCTAACTGCCAGTACTTTTTCAATCAGAGTTAGCATAGTGAAGCCATGCTTTTTTGACTATCTACCCTTTTCCCCCTTTGTTTAGGAACTCTTTCAGATGTATGACCACATCTGCAGGCAAGTAGATAGTTTTGTCTACTAGTAGCTTTTCACTTAGAGTTGAAGAGTTTATCTTGAAAATAGACCACTTTAAGTTTCTCTATCTTACATATAACATTTCGCTTCTGGCCCTCAAAAGACTCATTCACATCCCTTTATACAAAATGCATTTAGTTGATCTCTGAGAGTTGCCAGAAATTTTAACAATCATTCCTGAAAAGTCCAAGTCCAAATTCTTCTCTGAGATTTAAGGCAAACTCTTACCTGCTAGCGAGTTCCTATAAAAATGAAAAAGAAGTTAAACACTTTGAACATGCAATGGGAAAAGATAAACATTCCCTTCTAAAAGGTACAAATACGGGGATAGGAATAGGAGCAAAGCAAGACCAAAATCCGCCAAGGCAAACATTAAATCCCATAGTTCCATGTCCAGCACACAGGGCTATCAGTGGCAAGATGTAAACCCCAAAGGGCATAGGTGACTCCGTCCCTACTTCCTGTGGTTGTGGTTCTCATAGCTTCTCTCTTGGGCCAGCTTTGCTTACTCCTGCAGCCTTCCTCAGATGATCCACACTCCTGGCTTCTTGAACCTTATGGAGTCTCCACTGCACCTTTGGCTTCACACTCACAGCTTCACACATTGCTCTCTGAGGGCCACACCGCCTGGCCTCCCAGACCTTCTTCAGAAATCTGGGTGGCAACCTCTCTGCTCCCACAACTCTTACATTCTGCATGTGCCTAAAACTAACTATGTGAATGATGCCAAGGTCTGCTGGGAGCTAGAGGAGTAGCCAGGCTTCCTTTTCTCTTGGCTGTAGGGTTGAAGGACCTGGATTGCTGAGCATTATGAACCTGATTTGGCCAAACAAATTACCTAGGCCACTGCCATTCTGGAACATGGTGCCCTGGGGCTCTCTTCTCAAAGCAAAATCTTTCACCTTTGCAATTTTCAGGTTTCAGATGGTGGAGTCTTGCTGGTTCTTGTGATGCCCTCTAGCCGTCCTTTCTATTGTCCAGTTCCAAAGTACTTGGCTTTTCAGTACCAAGTTCTACTCCATCTTTGCAGTCCGCAACTTTACTGGAGCTTCTTTTTGGCCAACATTTTAAATTGCTCTGCTGGGCTTTTGGTTTTGATTCTCTACATAGATATGGCTAAAAGCCCCCAAGTAGCTATGCCACTGCCTCAACATTAGACTGCCTTGAAATTTCTTCCATCAGATTAATTAATCCACTGCCCTTATTCAGTCTCCCACATTGTCTCTGGACATGGACAAAATGTAGACAAAATTTCTGCCAGAGCATAACACGCGTTATGTTTCCCAACTGAAACCTCTTGAGCCTGGTCTCTTTTGGCTGTATTTCAGTCAACATTCTGGTCTTCTGAGCTCTGACCATAATATCCTGTCAAGCTTACTTCAGAGCATTCTAGGCCTGCATCTCCATGCAACATCTCCAAACCTTTCCAAATTCCTTGTGCAAGCCAGTTCTAAAAGCTTCTGAGCCACATATTCATGTAGTCTCAGCAACAACCCTCCTCCTGGTACCAAAATCTGTCTTAGTTACTTTCTCGTTGCTGGGATAAAATACCTGAAACCCACAAATCAAAGTTGGAAAGATTTGTTTTGGCTCACAGTTTGAAGAGGTTTCAGTCCATAGTGGGCTGCCTCCAAGGCAGGGCAGCATTTTTAGAGGAGCGTGGCAGAGGAGAAACAAACCATGGCAGGGTAGGGAGAAGCAGCAGTCTTCCTTCTTCCTTTTTTATTTTTTTGGTACTGGGAGTTGAACTCAGGACCTTGTGCTTGCAAAGCAGGCAGCAGCACCACTGAGCTAAATCCCCGGCCCCCCTCTTCCTTTTTTATTCCACCCAGGCTGCAAGCCTATTGGTTGGTGCCACCGACACCGAGGGTGAGTCTTCCTGTTTAGCAAATCCATCACTCACATCCAGAACTGTGCTAAACCAATCGGTGGACTGATCCAGTATCACTACTCATGATCCATGACCACACATCCTGAGCCAGTGTCACACACTGATAATCCAGTCACTCCTAAAGCCCCACCTATGAGCACGTAAGGCTCTGGGTGGACAGTGTGTGAAAAAAAATTTTTAGTCCCTAGAAATCAATGGAATCTTGTAGTTTAATTTCTTCATGGAAACTAAAAGGAAGGAGAGAGGCAGTCCAGTTGAGCTGAATCTCTATATGGGAAAACAGTTTTTAAGACAATACTTTTTCTGCTTAAATCTCATGTTTTCTACTCTTGTCTTAGTGGGAAGAAAAGCTATTTGAAATTTTTGACTTAAGATGGCTTATTTTCATTCCATGCCAATTCCTTCTTTAACAAAAACAGGAAGCAAAATGGACAAGGAGAAACTCAGCTGAGCACAATGTATTTCTTTTTCCCAGTGGTGTTATTTTATACACAAAAACCACAGAAAAGTACCTAGAGAAAGAATCTTTCAATAACAGCATGGGAAGATCTGGGAATAGTAAGAGAGGAATTGAAATTTTTAAAAAATTTATTGTTTTTGCAACAAGAAGGATGTCTCAATTAATGCAGATTTCCCATCTGTTTCTTAAATCATTAGTTTATTCAGGTATGTTTATCGATGACCTATAGAAATGAAAAGGATAAATGGTAAGCTTTGCAAAATGCTTGAAATGTATGCTACGTGTAGAGGCATCTAGTGCTTATTAACATATTGAGGTCTCCGAGAATTCTTTTTTTTTTTTTTTTTTCCAGGGATCAAACTTGGGTCCTTGTGCTTGTGCAGTAGAATACTTTTGATTGGTGAACCATTTCTAAATAGTTTTTTTTTTTTTTTTTTTTGGTACCAGGGATTGAACTCGGGTCCTTAGCTTTCGAGGCAGGTGGTGGAACCACTGAGCTGAATCCCTGGCCTCTCCGAGAATTCTTAGAGGAAAGAACCTCTTTTATTTTGATTAATCTAGTGTTTCTTGAATTTATTCAGCTATGTAGTTCTTTTATCACAGAATAATATGTAACAATAAAAGTAAGGAAATTTAGTAATACAGTATAAGAATAATATAGGAAAATTAGCTTTGTGAATGGAAGTATATCTAAGGGCAGTGATAAGATTTTTATATTCTGATCAGATATATCTATATCCAGA